AAGATACAAGGACTCCCTGAAACAACATCTCAGCCTTGGCCATATTGATCACCATAACTGGTCTACTCTGGCCCCAAATCGGGAGGCCTGGAGACACACCATCTATAATGCAGCTGTCTCCTTCGAGAACACACGGAGGATCACTCTCGAGGAAAAAAGGCAACGCAGAAAGAATCGTGTATTGCAGAATACACCATCTAAGGAGTCTTTCTGCTGTGCCTTTTGCAATCGGATATGTCTGTCACGTATTGGCCTCATAAGCCACCAGCGTGCCTGTAACAAATGTGAATAGAGCCTTCCCAAATCTTCGTTCGCGAAGCCTAGCCATGATAGCAATTGTCAACACAATATAAATACAAACAGACAATGCAGAAAGAATCGTGTCTTGCCGATGCTGATACCACCTAAGGAGTCTTTCTGCTGTGCCTTTTGCAACTGGACTTGTCTATCTCGTATTGGCCTTTTTAGCCACCAGCATGCTTGTAGCAAACGTGGGTGGAGCCCTTCCCAAATCTTCGTTCACAAAGCCTAACCATGATAAATACGAACACATATAAATATGTAATTATGGGTATGTATACACTAAAGACTTAAGAATATCTTTATAGGCATTTATATATATAGTACCTTAACTGGCTTTTTGGAAGGAGTATTTAATTCATAGAACAGTTTTGGTTGGAAAGGAACTTAAAGGGCACCCAGTTCCGACCTGCCTGCCATGGGTAGGGATACCTTCCACTACACCAGGTTACTCAGAGCCCCATCCAACATAACCTTGAATGCTTCCAGCGATGGGACATCCACAACATCCGTTCCATCGCCTCACCACCCTCACAAGAAACAATTTTTTTCCTCATATTTAATCTAAATCTACCCTCTTTCAGCTTAGGCCCTTTCCCCCTTGTCCTGTCACTACATGCCCTTTTGAAGAGTCCCTCTCCAGCTCTCTTGTAGGCTTCCTTTTAGTACTGGAAGGCTGCTGTAAGGTCTCTGCAGAGCCTTCTCTTCTGAACAACTCAGGCTGAACAACTCTGGCTCTCTTAGTCTGTCTTCATAGGAGAGGTGCCCCAGCGCTCTGATCATCTATCTTCATGGTCCTCCTGTACACTCACTCCAATAGGTCTGTGTCCATCTTATTTTGGGGGCCCTACAGCTGCACACAGTACTTCAGGTAGGATCTCATCAGAGCAAAGACCTGCTTACCATGCTTCTTTTGATGGAGACCAGAATACGGTTGGCTTTCTGGACTGCAAGCATACATTGACATAATGGGCTGTGTTTTAAATCACCTACAAAGAATTTCCTATAAATCTGACTTGTATTTCCACCTTGTTCCTTTCTGTTATTTCAGTCACAAAGTCCTCCAGGATAATCAAACCATATATTAGGTAATCCACTTTGAGTCAAATTATTCTGTTGAAAATTCTCTTACAGGTATGTGCCTCAGAAAATACATATATGGCTTACTCCTTTCTACAGGACCAAAGCTGCTAATCATGCTTTGAAAATCAATTTCTGTTTACTAAAACCTTATTTTATGTTCTAAATTATTTTAATCTTTATATTTTAAGCTATGTGATACATTATGATATCACCTGGACTTTTCTAGTAGAGTTGTTCCTCACTTGCACTTGTCCTATATTTCAGAAAAAAACTAACTATCAAATTAGAAAATGAAAGCAATTTCTCTAGTATCTTATATTGTGCTTGAGATCACTTTCAGTTTCTGTCTGCCTGGCTGTAATTTTGGCTGTTATAAATATGTACCTTTTTCAAATGTACCAACGCTACTAAATCAGCCATGATAATCATACCACTGTGTTTACAACTCCACTATTTTAATGCCATTTCTAAACTTTATGAACAATTAGATTTTAGCTTCTTTCATACTATTGACTAGTACTGAGACAAGAAGAGATATCCACAGAATCTCTTGAAAAATAATGACATGGGCTGTTCCTTCTTTATTTTAAACAAACACAAATCCTTTTTTATATTAATAATTATCTATATAGATATTAAAATGTCTAATCAATACAATTATTATTATCAAACACACTTTTTAAAAGTTATGAAATGTATGATGAGCTATTTTTTTGATTACTCTTCACAGGTTGTCAGTAGTAATGCTTCTTTATTTTACATTTTTACTGGTTTTGCTGGTTTATACATGATTTTGCTTTGTATCAGTATGAGGCTAACTGATACAGACTTAGCCTATTTATCCTATTTCCTTTTTAAAATATTGGAAAACTTTTTTTTTTCTAGTCCCCTGGAAGCTTCCTCAGAATTCTGAGACTGATTCATAATAATGATTAATTGATAATTGAAATTAATTTTTTAGAAGAGTCATCAAAAAAATCTCAAACATTTCCTTGAGTAAAAGTTGCCCAATCCTGATAGTAAAATTTAAATTCAACAGCTGTCATCTAACATAGTTCTAACAGATGGAATGAAAAGAATTTTCTTATCTCTAAATTAGAGTTAGGTAATTTTCCTTCCAAGAATAGAAACATATGTAGAAAATGAACATCTTTTATGTAATTTACAAGCATTTATCTTTTTTAAAATTAAAATATTTCCTATATGGCACTGTTAAAATTTGTTTCCTCCTGATATATTTAAATATTTTGTTGCATTGTCAGAAGGAGGTAGGTAAGCTTTGAAATACTTTTTCCTTTTTTTTTGTGCTTTGTGTGTATATGCAAAAGTGTTGCCAGTTGGGAAGCTGCAGGGATTGCCCCATGCTGGACACAGCTGATTCCAGCCAAGTTCAACAGACATCATAGGACATAGCTAAGCCCATCAGCCAAGGTCATAGAGCTTCTGGTAAAACATATTTAAGAGCAAAATCACTGCTTTGAAGAAGGAAGGAAGGAGGTAGGGAAGGAAGGAGGGAGGGAGGGAAGGAAGAAAGGAAAAAGAAGGAAAGAAAATGAAGGATAAGGAAGAAAGGTAAAGGAAAGAAGAGAGGAATTGGAAGTGCTCCAGCTGCTAGAGCAGGTATCCACTGCAGCTTGTGGAGGACCCCATGCTGAAGCAAGTGGTACTGAAAGAACTGTGACCCATGGGCAGTCCACACTGCAGCAGATTTTCTCCTGAAGACTGCAGCCTGTGGAGAAGACCCGCACCAGAGCGAGGCAAAAGTGTGAGGAGGAATGAGCAATAGGGAGAAGCCGTTATGAACTGACCATAACCCTCTATCTCCTATCCCCACTGTGTTGCTTGCTGGGATACATGCTGAAGTTGGCAGTGAAGGAACAAATTGAGCCTGGGGGCAGAAAGGTGCTGTTTTTTCATGTTTGCCTTTTTGTTTCTCATTATGCAAATATATTGTAATTGGCTATTAATTAATTTTCCCTAAATTGAGTCTATTTTGTCTGAGACAGTAATTGGTAAGTGATCTCCCTGTCTTTATCTTTAAAGTATTTTGCATTTCTCTTTTTTTTCCTGTTTTCTCCCCTGTCCTGTTGAGAGTGAATGAGCAGCTGGGTGGGAGTTCAGCTGTTTGATGAGGTTAGCTCACCACGGTATACCATCTCAGGAAAATAGATCTTTCTTATTTTTATGGTTGCATAAACTGAATACATACATCTATATACTGTATATAAGAAAAATACTAAATTTTAAGTAGACCTGGGTAAAATGTGTTATGTATTTACAATATAAATTATTTGCAGTTTGTATTTTACTCTAAAACCTATGCATGCTGTTTGTATAGATTTCAAGGTCTTGACTGAAGTAATATCAGTATACGCTTTTTTGTTTTCCAATATCAGTGAAGAAATAAAATGTACTAATTTTAAAAGTGGGATAATTAAACCAAAATTTTCAGGGAAAAGAAGACTACTATAAAATGCTTAAAGGTTGAATTGTGAGTAGATTCTGAATAGAGTACGAGAGATGCTAAAAATATGTAGACTCCTGCAAATAAAGTAGTGACTTCGAGGAAAAAAAAGTGCTATTTTTAATTTATGATATCATAAGCCTTGATCTTTGTTGTGTCAACTGAGTAATGAATGTGTTTTCAAGTTGTCCTTTGTGAAGTTAGCACAGTCAATTTGCCAGGCAAAAGTGAGTAGTTCAGCTGAACTTGTCTGAAATTTGTTTACACAGTTTGCGAAATTACTATCTTCTATATTCAGAAGTTTTCAATCAAGGCAAAAAAGAGAAGTGGTATTTTTCAGTTATTGGTTTACAGTTTCCTGACTTTACTAAATTACCTCAGAAGTCATATCCAAAGTCATTGTATCACTTCTTGGTGTTGCAGACATGTCTTAAAATACACCTTAGGAACTAAGCAAACTCCATCTTGAAACTACTTGGATTATTTTCCTACTACTTCTACCTGTAATTAGGAATTTGTTTAGGATTATCAATTAACATTAAACTAAAGGTTTCTCTGATTCAATAGCATTTTTAAGAATAGAATCTTGGGATACTGGAATCACTTCAGTTACATGCACCTCTACTCATGTAATTTAAAACAGCTGTGTATCACAGTAATAGCAAAAAGAGAAACTCTAGTCAAGAAGTTTTGTAACAAATTATCCTCTTCTAGCTATTTTTTTAAAAAAAAACTTTCTCTACTTTTTTTATTTTAAATGTTAGCTACTAAACTGTAAAATTCTGAATAGACTGCATGCCAATAGCCCAATTTAAAGACATGGGAAATCCCAATCAGGTGGTAAATAAATAAATAGGAACATGATGTTTACCTTCCAAATAGAATATAGATTATTATGTGATTTATACAAATTTCAGATATTTATATACTCTTTTCTTAATGAAGTCAAAATGTAGAGTGTGAACTGCATAAAACCCAGTAAATGCAAAGAATGTAATTCCTATGCATTAAATGCAAATAAAATATAAATAAATAGAAATTTAAAAATAGGACTATATAAATTGCAATGTACATAAGACCTAGAAATATAAGTAAAAATTTGGTGGTTTAAATATGTTTATTTAGGTTTAAAGTGGGATGGAGCTACCCAAAACTGACATTGAAAATTAGGAAAAATCTAGAACTTGAACTGATATTAACTTGGGAACTTAACCTAATTTTAATAATTTGGTTGCAACACCAAGTATGCACTGGAATCAATAAAGTTTCAATGAAAAAAGGAAAAAGACATAGCAGAACCAGACAGTGTTGAGTATTTTGATAATATACAGCAAATTAATGACTCGTGAAACTGAACCATAAGAATCCATGACTTGATAAAAACGTAGAACCCTGGGAGAAAGCTGGATCATGAAATAGTGCATAGACACAGAATGCATCATGACTGTAAAGGTTTATGTTTAAAAGAACAGGAAGGGAGGAATCTGCACAATGCAAATGAAGTCTGTGCAGAGGAGGAGCAGAAAATAATAAGGAAGGCAAGGACATTTGCAAGCTTGAGTAGTTGCAAGGACCAAGTCTGTGTTTGTGTTTGTGTGTTTGTGTGTGCATGTGCAGATATAAATTATGTTCTCTATGATTTAAGGAAAAATTCAGTATTCGAATTTTGCAATTTGATCTTACTATATGCTAATCATAATATAGATAACATACCAAAATGATCAATATCTAAGCAGAACTGTAAGTTGAGACCTCTGATTTATTACTGAGTAGGATTATTTGTGATGCTTAGCTTTCTTTGTAACATTTTTTTCCCTAGCTTCATCCATTGACACAAAGCTATATATAGACTCAAAGATATTTTGGAAGGAAATTTTGTCAAAAGAATTGCTAAAAGCATAAGGAAACTATTAGATGTAGTTTTCAGTAATTTAAATTTCTAATATTTGATTTTTAAATGATGAAACATCCAATAACCCAAATGACCTTACACAAACATATACATGGAATAAATTATTTAAAATGAAAGCACAAAAATTATTTGTTCAGCTGCTCCAGTGACTGGAAGGTTAGGAACAAAAGCTGTTATTGTTCGGTGTATTTTTTCACAGGAAATAGACAGTGGCAAACATACAGTAGTTCAACACATGAGATCAGAGACACAGTTTTTATAGTAAACCAAAACCAGATGTTGGAAGGACTCAAGACCTTTACAGAAATTATTAGTTATGTTTGCCTTTGAAAGCAAAGAAAGTTTACAGAGAGTCGTGTACCTGATTAAGAAAAAGACAGGTTACAAAAGCTATTCATTCAAGGAAAAATATTTGCCATACAGACTGTTTTATATATAGCAGTTTGTTATGTACATAGGATTTGAATTTTACTTTCATTTGGTTTTTGAACAAATATGCTAACTTCTTCATACTACTAAACAATTTTAGAAATAAGAAAAAGGTTAAATATTGTTAAACTGAAGGAAGAATTGTGCATTAAGCCCTTGGAGTTAAGTTCCATCATTAATTGATACAGAATTAGGCATTAAACAATACTTTTATTTTAAGAATTTATCAGAGAAAAATTTAAATATATGGTACAAAATAGGTAGCATATCACTTTTCATGTAGCATAAAATGTTTCTCTAGGAAAATATTAATGACTTGATATCACTGGATGCTAACTGATTTAATGCAAATTGGATGGAATAGTCAAAAATAAGGTCTTAGTGTTACATTCCTAAAGGTTTCTTGCAAATATGCATTTAAGTAGGAAGAAAAAGGAGACTGTAGCATGTTAGACACCAAGGTTTATGTGCCACAGAGCACAGACCTATGGGAAATTAAACTTATTACTTCTATACCTTCTAAACTATTTTTTTTCTTGCCCTGTTCAGATCATCTTTTGCAGACTTCCAAGCAAAAGCTTTTGTTCCTAGCAAGAATTTTGATTTTTTTCTCTATCCTTTTTTCACAAGCTGTAAATGGATTTTAAAAAGTAGATACTCATCTTAATTTTAGTCCTTTTGTAGTCCTCTACCTATAGAGCTATAGAGTCTTGAAATTCTGGAATTAGGTAATCCTGCTATGTTAGAAAGATGTCTATAGCTAATATGTAACCACAATTAGGAAATATTGCAAGAGACTATAATATCAGAGTAATGGTTGGAGATGTAGTCACTGTGAAAGAGAAGACCATGCCATTTGATTTTAACTCATGATTTGATATCTGTTAGGTTTTTTAAAGCTTCATGTACATTAAATATATAAATCAAATGCGTTGAAAGTTAAATGACAATCATCTTAATATAGTATGAATAATTAAATATAATCATATTAATTAGCTCACAAAGAATATTTGTCAGCAATCAGAAAAAAGTAATCTGAAGCTGAAGTTTCCTAAAAGTTGCTTAGTAGAACCTCATCTGGTTAAATACAATTCCAAGTGGAAGAAAACATCTTTAAGCAGAACCTGTGGAATTTGCTTTACTCAATATCCTCTTGCAGGTGCAATCCGGTGTAAACCCTATTTGTTTTTCTGAACTGACTTTTTGAAAATTTTCATGCAGTGATGGTCTGCTTGAACATAGACATTGAAACTGAGGATTTACATTGATCTGGGAAGATACTATTTACATACGAAGGTGCGTATAATACCACCTATTGCAAAAAGCGCTTGAATCTACACATTTTCCTTCTTATTATATTGTTATACTGTATATGAATGAAATATATAATGTTAGAATTCATGGGATGAGATTTAATGGAAACATTACACAGTTGTCTTTAAATGTTGATGCACACATTTGTGAAGTATTCAGCACAGGGCTGATGCTGAAGGCAAGGTTCTGAGCCAGATGAACCGAATACCTATCCAAAAATTTTGATATTGCTGTAGATACAAATGAGCAATTTGTAAGGAAAGAGAAATTTTTTCAGTCTGGTTTCTGCTAGGAAGGTGTAAACATCACAAGTTAAGCTACAGTGATAAACAGTGTTTCTAATTGGCATCCCTGCCGATCATTTCAGAGATAAATGGTCAAAGAAACTGAGCTAGTCTCCTGTACCTGGAGATGAATCTTCCAGCACAGGATTAATGTACTTTTCTGGTGATTGTTTTCCAACACAGCTACACAGATTTGGTGGATACTGCTTGCTGTTACAGTTCCTCTTATAATCTATGAGTGAAATAAGTATGTAATGGCCAACACTGAAGTAAAAAAAAAGTCTAGCATGTCTGTTAGTGGAGTACAGCAACAATTAATGTTATGGCTAGTATATTAACTATGGAAAGTCTGCAAATGAGATAATAAGGATGTGTTACATCAAGGATCCTTATAAGACATCCATAAAATTATGGGATGCTTTTCATGACACTTTGAAAACCAAATTTAAAAACAGTGAAATTCATAGAATACTGCTACGCTAAAATGAAATTTTTGTAAATGTAATCTTAACTAGTAAAATAAAGTGTATTATCTTCATTAGAAGACAAAACAACGGCAGGTGTAGTTCACAAACTAATAAGTACTTTTGTCTGTTCAAGGATAAACCAAGATAATTAAGGGTAGTATTGCAGAAGGACTGTTCTCTTGAAGATAGATTGGTTTGGTATATGTTATTTATTTTGTCTCTACTAGCCAAAAGGACTATATTTGCCTGAGGCAAACATTTTGGACATCTCCTTGTTATCCCTACGTGATGCTGGCGAAACAAAAGTGTTTAACTTACATATTTTTTAGTGAGAATCACATAATATTTTCTATAATAACTTCCAAACTTCTGTAAGACTAGGCAAAGCATTGCCCTTATGCTTAGAGCAGTGAAAGTTTGCATAGCAAAATGACCTCTAGTACAGGTCAGCACACAGTCATTATAAGTTCTGCTGTAAAGGTACCACTTCTCAGATTGAGATATCCATGACCCATCTAAAAATAAAAATTAAAAATGCAAAGAATTTGAGTTGATCATAAGAGCCAAAATAAATTATTATAAAATCATATGGTTCTTTTGTATATACACTCATCCACACGTCTCCAACTAAATATTTTTCCAACAGACACTGCTCAGAAGCTCTCCAAGGTCTCTTTTGACTTTAACAAGTTTTAGATCAATTCTGATAATGTCGTATGTCCTTAAAATCTTGCAGTAGTGGTAGTCTCCACAAACAATTTTCTTACATTACAGAAGCATATTTTGCTGCATATGTTTTATGAATATATCTTCTACCATTTATATTTGTATTTAAATAAATATATTAAATTATATTAACTTTGAGATGCTATACTTCTATCTTTTTTAATAAATATCTATGCTGGGTAATAACTGCACTTCAATAACCTATGTAAACATATTGCATATTATTAGACCTTAAAGTTACATGTTTGACAGATAGCACACAGTTTCTCAAGGGTATTATTGCAATCTGTGAAACTTATTAACTGTGATTTCATAGCCAATGACAAAAGATAATAAAAAAATCAGCTGTTCTGTAAGCCAAAGCACTTGTCCATAGATAATAAAAAATCATAATTTCCATACATGACTGAAGAAAACAAATATTTTGTCACCTTGAGCTGCTTCCACTCATCTGACCAAAAAGACATAGTAAATAAAAATATTTTATAATTCAAATGTTTTTTAATTTGTGATTCCATATAGCAAATCATGTTGGATTTGACTAAAAGCTGCTTAAGACCCTGGAACTACAAAGTATATCAGTAAAAAAAAGATAAAGAAAAAAACCTGCAGACCTTTTCAGTCAGAAACCCGGGGGTTGGGGAAAATGTACAGTAATACCAGATGCTCTTGGTTTAGACTCTTGGATATTGTGGATCCAAATAGTTTTTCTAGACCATATATATTAATACTTGCTGCTTTTCCTGCCAATGTAAACACATTGTATGCTCTTGTAGAAACTGCTGCTGGTTTAGATTTTTCTTGCTCCAGTCTCCCCACCCTGCCCCAGTCATTATAATGATTTCTAACTCTTCATTAATTTGGGGATTCTAGATGCTTTTTCTTTCACTGACTGAAATACTTCAGTGGCTTCTTTTTCCTGTTCATTTTTAGTGATCTGTCAGTTGACCTATAATGGAAAAGTTAAGCACCTGAGCACCCTGAGCAGTTCATAGTCCTGCGTCTTCCCAGAATAAACCGATACCTCTTTTTTTACCTTGCAGAAGTTCTTTTGATTTTTTTTTTTAAGTATTCTGAGAGTTATAGCAAAGATTTGAGTGAGTTTTGCTGGAATGAAGTAACCACTGAGAATTAACCTCTCACAAATCGGAAGATGAACTTCACCCTTCTGTCCTTCACAAGAGTTTATTGGTTGATAGTCAGGGATGGGAGATTGAAGAAGTTGGTTTGAGTTTTTTGATGGAAAAGAAGGAACTAAATCTGGGTTTCTCAAAATATGGAAGAATAGTCTAAAAATTAGATAGTAATTTGTTTTAAATACAACAAAATTAGCAAATTAACAAAAAACGCCAAACACTAAAATTGCTTTTTATGAAACTATAGTTTGTAGCGTAGTTTATGTACAAGAGAGTTAAATGTACGTTACACAGGGTATGGAGGATTTTCTGAAAACAGGTGTCTTAACATGACAGGCTCACATACCTTTTAATGAAAAAATCAAGAAAGCATTTTGAGATGGGAAAAAGTGAAGGATTTAGCACTGGAAAAATTGTTCAATAACAACTGACTACCATGTTTTTTGTTTCCTCTCCTGTGGATCCAAAGTACTTTTGTAGCCAGGTGATAGTATAGTAGTTTTCATTTATGTTCCTAGAGCAAGTAACATGCCAAATAAAAGTTAAATCTCTGACTTTTCAGTAAAAAGTGCTTGGGTTCTTGTATTGGGTCTGGCTGAGCTGGAGCTCATTTCCCCATAGTAGCCCTCACAGAGCTGTGCTTTGCATTGGTAGCTAGAATAGTGTTGATAACATATCAGTGATCCTGGGAGGGGACACAAGTAGGCCAGCTGACCCTAACTGACCAACCATATGACATCAGCTCAGAGATAAAAGCTGAGGCAAGGAGCAGGAGGGTGGGCATTCATTGTCTCCAATGGCTGCCTGCGGTGAAACCATTATGTGTGCTGAAGCCCTGCTTCTCAGGAGTGGCCAACCATCACTGCTCATGGGAATTAGAGAATAAACTTCAATTTTTGGATGTGCAAGCTTTCACTTTGCTTTTGCTTCAAGTAAACTGCCTTATCCCAGCCCATGAGTTGTTTTTCACCTTATTCTCGCTCCTGTCTGACTGGGAAGGGGAGTGATAGAGTGGCTGGGTGGGCACCTGGTGTCCAGCCAAGGTCAACCCACCACAGTTCCCCAACATAGTATTAATAATTTTCTTTTTTTTCTTTTAGACAATGTACTATATTCATATTAATACTTCTATGACTGAGAAAATAGTGAAGGAACAATAGTCACTCTCACGTTTGGGTTTTTTTGTTTGTCATTATCTATTTTATCCCAATGCATCCTCATTGTCTTCAGCGAATACATTTTTTTCCTGCCTCTTGCATCTTTTTCTCATTTCACTCTTTTGCTGCCTAGGACTCTCAGGCTTTCTGCAGGGAAGTAGGGAGAGTGACACTTTATACTGAAGCTTGATAAATGAATTCTTTACCTTCTTGTTTCTTGGTAAGTGGACCATTAAGCTGTATGTCCTTGACTCTCTGTGTTGGTAGGATGAAAGAATATAACAACAAAAGGATTTACCTTTGAGTAAATTTTATTCTACTTCCAGCATGTGGTTAATAGTATATTTTATATGTGATTTCCCTAATATACTACATGATTGAAATTGTGGTAGAATGATTAAAATCTAATATGCTTCATGTTTTCACAAGTCTTGTTGAAGTTTGTTGTTTTAACATCTTAACTTGAGCTTTCATTCCCACTTGCATTATAATACAAAGAAAAAAAAGAAACTCCTCTGAACCAGTTTTTATAATGTGCATCCTTAACTGACAATAAGTAATTGGAAAAAAATTTTTGTATTTGTAAGGTTTGACCTTGACATTGTTTATGTAGGCCTCCAAAGCAATTATTGTAGAAACTGAGATGGAAAACAATGGCAAAAAGCAGACAGAAATGTTTGAATTAGTGCAAATCACAAATATAGCTGAATGGTATTAGATGACAGTTTGCTTTTAATGAGGGAAGACATGAAGTAATTAAATCTTGACATACAATTATGAAAAATATCAGGTAACAAGCCTGCTATGCAATATAGAATAAGAAAAGACATTTTCTGAAAACTTGCCTGATGCTCTGTCATCTGAGACTGTTCTTTATGAGTGCAGGGTGAAGGTCAAGGAGGTATCTCAACTCCATCAATCCTTTGGACAGTTACAAATGACCTTTCACTTTTCATAAGACATTCAATATTCTGAATGGGGGAGATACATTTTTCTGTGTTTAGAAAATAGCAAAATTGAAACCTTTTATAGCGCACAAGGTGCATTTGTGTTTGAATCTCCTGAACAGCTCATTCATTTTTAAATGTTCATTGACACCAATATCTTATTTACATGAAGTAAATGATTTTAAAATACTGTATCTGTTTCAACACGTACTTTAACTTTTCATATTTTTATTGCATTAATTTTATGATTTTTTTGCTTATTTTTTAATTTTTATTTTATTTTTTCTTTAAGAAATGTTTTAAAATGCTACAGTGCATACAGATGTATGGCTTTGAATTTTTGCTACTTTGATTTGATATTGATGGAAATTCAAGCATTACACCAGTTGTTTTTTAATATTTATTTTGCAAGGTTTAAATCTCTGTTTTCATCCTGATCTCTCAAGCTTTGTAAGAAAATTGTGTTGTTAGAATGTGTTCCACCAGATGTGCATTTCTTTGTGACTTACTGGATTTAACTTTAATCCACAGGAGTTTCTGTGTGTAATCAGAGCTTGTTCTTTGGTCGTATAAACTTTGATTTCAGTGGCACTTGTGTGAGGTAAGAATTGAGGATTTAATTGTTATTATTTTTTTACTGAATTAAAAAAATGGTGCAAAGCTACTATTTCACCTATATTTTGGGAATTCCTAAATATTTTTTCCCTTTTCACCACAGATTATTTTTTTCCTCCCATTTGTTACATAAAACAAAGGAACTTGAAATTCTAGGCAAAACTGTTGCTGGGCCTGTCCAATACTCTGCATGTTATGAACAGGTAATCCTTTTGCTAACTTCAGTTGTACTTCAGTGTATAAACATAGAGATAATAAAGGAAAAAATCAAGAACAAATATGTGTAAATTACAAAAGAACAGCATCTCTTCATTAAAGAAACCAAAAAACCCTCTTTGAGATGAGCGTAGTAGCAGACTGAGGTCAGTTTTAGAACAGAAAGGAAAACCTACATACGGAGAACACAAATGCAAATTTTATAGTAGCTTAGCTTACTTACTGTATTTAATCAAAGATGTTAAAACATACAAGTATAATCCTATCAGTTTAGAAGAATCTATCACTATTTTTAGTGCTGAAAGTTAGGTGTGCTTTCAATTGAATGTAATTATTTATTTAAATCATACATAATGTCTAATTCATTTCTTTTAGAAATATCATTTAAGATTTGCCATGGGCAACAATTTAAAATAAAGCATTGGCAATTTTATTGGACTTGAAAAGCTATTCAGAGTGGAATTATTAAAACAATGGTCAGAATCTCACATTGAATAAACCAAAGTGACATTCATAATATCTCAGTAATTTGTTTGCAAAATTACATCTTGCTACAGTCTCCAAAATCTTATGATTGGTTTACCTGTACCTTACTATGTATTCATTACTTACACCTTACACTGAGGTAGATTATCTAGTCCAACTAGTGTAAATCGTGAGTTAGCACAGTTTTTGTGACACTTTTTGTTTTCTCTCTCATGCTTTCTTAATAGGTAAGTCCTGAAATAGAAAAATAGGAAGAAGCATTTCAGAACATTTTAGGGAAACACTCCAGGACAAATATTATCCAGTGTGTGCTCCTCTACTTATAAAACATCATTAGCATGAGCTTGCCTCCCAGGAATTTCAGCAAAATGAAATCATGCAGAATTATATTCTTCATGAGTAGATGTTCAGAAAAATTTCCTAAGACTACTTTTATATCAAGACATAATAGGTATATACATGGCAAAAATACTGACAATTGCTATTTTCAAATTTCAGAAAACTTCCCTTAATTTTTACGAGGTATCAGTTTCAAAGTAATTGTACAAATAAATGCAAAGGTAGTGATACAAAATTTTTATAGTAGCCAAGAAACCCCCCAACGATCATGTTGTATGTATTGCAGTATTATCTGAAAATTTTACAGATCTGACAAAATAGAAACAACAATAAACTCTTTTTTCACCACAGCTTTTAAAGAACTATACACACGTCTTTCCTGGAATTCCCAAAATTATTTAAATTTCTTCTTTCATAAAATGGTAGGAGACTATATTTTAACACGGTGCTTCTGAAAAAAACCCTATTTAAAACTGCTGGTCTATTTTCCTGTTTAGTCTTATCACACTAGAGTGTGAGCTCTAATTTGATACTAGCAAATACCAAGTATAACTTATGCTACAGCTATTCTTTCTCTTAGGTTAATGTGTGTATGGAGATATATTTTAAAGCACATTGGTAAAAATAAAGAAACTGACCAATGCAAGACATTCCTTATTCTTTTAAGTTGTTATTCATTTCAATGTGTGAATGTCAATTAGGCACTCAGTCCAAAATTTGTACCTTAATAAACCTGTCAAATCTAAATTGGTGTCACTGCCTCAGTACATAGCCTACTGAGTTCCTGCCGATCTTTCCTTATATGTAGGCTAACATGGTGGAGATAAAGTCCCAGCAGATGACTTTTTTTTCCTGTTAAGACCTATGTCTTCTTGGTTTGAAATAGGCTCAAACTGTGACACTGGGACGGAAAAGGCCAAAAGTGTAAAAAAAGTCAAGCTGACTAAAATCTAGTGAAATAAAATTTATTTAAATGTATTCATGGTTCTTATTGTGTCTCAAATACACACTTATCTTCAAAAGCAGTGGCTCCTAGCCATGCTTATACATTGACATATACATATATATCTTTTTAAAAAAAAACAAACCATAAAAACAAACTAGCAAAACCAAAAGAAATTAAACGTAGAAAAAATTCGACATTATTGTGGAGATTTTACATTAACAAAAATAGGAAACTGAGTTTGTCTTCCCAGAACAACTGTTATTTAGTAACAGTACCAATATATGAAAATACAGTGAAGTTAATACTACACAGTGTAGGGCACAGAAATACAATATAGTATGTATAGAAAGTGCAAAGCAGCAAAATTGAGGTTGCTGTGGGAAACATACTGGCAATTTAATGACATCTGTTTGTGTCATATCTCAATCATAATATTGCATTAATGTAGTTATTTGCATTTAATTCTATATTACATTCCCAGTTTAGAAGAACACATTTGCAGTTTCTCATATCTCTGCTTCTAACAGTGATTCAAAATTATATACTTTCTAAGATTATTTTGACAGAATTATATATAACTTCCTGATGGAGCATCTCATTACCCTGGCAAGAGACCTTGATGAAGGAAGTAGTTTGTGAAAGGGTTAGGTATTGACAACTAAAAATCTTGTTCTTAAAGACGGTTTACTAACTAGGCTATAATGCTATTATACCTATACTGTCATGGGTGAATATTTTCCTATGAGGGATGGAGTACTTAATTATTTCTCAGTGACCACAACTTCAGTGTAAGTGGTCTGAACTTGTAAGAAAATAGAAAGTATAATCGAGTTGAGATTAAACTTTTGCTTTATTTATTTCTTTTGAGAACACAGGACATCAGGCTGGGAAGAAGATACAGTCATTTAGGACAGAGGTCCATAAGCTTCTGTCACCTCTTCTACTACAGAAAAGCACTGATGAGAGCCAGGTTGAACAGCTACTAATCACGATAAGGAGAATTGTGCATGGAAATAATGAAATGGAGCACAGAATGAACATTTTGTTTGACAATGGTCAAATAAGCAATATGACCAATAAGAGAAAATTATATGTCCTAGGTATAAAATATTCAATAATACTTTAAAAGGAACATGGATTTTTCTCGTGTATGGTACTGTTATTTAAATGGAGATGTCCCTTAGGTAATCTGTGCTTAGACCAAGGCTCTTTTCTTCTAGCAATTAAACAGGCAAAAGCAGGTGCACTGTTCATAACTCTCTTATGAAGAACCATCAATGACATGAAGATGCCTATTATGAGAATAAAGGTAAAATAATGACCCCTAAAAGAAGTGAAAAAACTCTAATCAGATTCACCAGGAGAGGGACTTCACCTTGAATCCTCTGTCTAAGTTTCTTTTAAACTAAGTTCTAGAATTTTTTACTGAGTGTACAGAGGACTGACATGATCTCAACCATATCCACTTATTTTAAAATATTGCAAGAATTAGGGCATGTTTCCAGAGTAAAAGACAACAGAAAGTGTGAGAACAAAGGAAAAGAAAATAAATACTAAAAAATTAAAAAAAGTGGTGATAGGAAAGGAAAATAAGATAATAGAAAAAATAAGATGCTAGAAAAAGAAAGAAATTATTAAAAATCATAATATAAAAGAAAATAAATTAAAAACTATAAATATTTAAAGCCAAATTACATAGTTACTTTTTCTGTACCGTCTAGAAATTTCAGCCACTAGGGGATAAGGAAAATGTGGAAAATCTGCAGTCAGGCCACAGTCTGAACCAATTCATACACTGACAATGCTAAACTTGTCAAGCCTACATATCTTTTAGGGGCATGTCATAAAAGGTATATACAACTCTACTTCAAGAATTTTATGTTGAAGACTTCCATTGTTAAAATGTTTGAAATGTTGATACACCAAAATGCAGCAAAGTTATAATTTATAACCTATTTAAAAATCACTTACATTTTAAAAACATTTGGCAATACAAGTATCAGATATATAAACCCCTTGATATTATCTGAGAGACTGTCTACCTTCAACACAAGTAAAAGAGGTAAAACCAGCTTCTAAGTAAATTAGCAGTGAAGTCATATCCAACTTTTACTTGGCTAGATGAAATGGAGGTAGTGGAACAGTTTCATTGTGGAACATATTCGGTTAAAAGAAGTCACATGGCACCCTACTGCATAAATTACATATCCAAATGGATATTTTTTGTAGATATATAGATGTGAAGTTCAGAATGCATTATTCAATCATTTCATCTGACTTCCTATGTAACACAGGCAACAGAATTTTATCCAGTTATTTGTGTTTCTAACCAAATAACTTCTATTTGTAGAAATATATTTTTCTAGAAGTTTACTCTTCAAGAGCTGAACAGATACATGACTTCTGTTGTAATCTTGTTTCACTTGTTTCACAGTACTTTTGAAGTAATAAAAAATCTAATGTTAAATTGTCTTCAGCTTCCCACTGTTGTGTGTTTCTCAAATAGCCCTTTAGTTCTCCATGCTTTGACTTTGTGAAAGCCCTGTAAAGTGTATTGAAGTGATAACTCAACATTTTGTTTTTGATGAGTTAAACAAAATATTGAGTAATTGTTGACTCTTAACTGCATGAGCTCTTTCAGGATGCTCTTGAATAATGTCTCAGAACTGGATGTAGTATGTGTTCTGTTAAACACATTTAGAGAGGTAACTTCTGGCAATCAGCAAGAAGAGTCTTGAACTGATTGCCTAGAATCAATATGAATCAAGATTTTTACTTTTTTCAAACTTGGGATATAGAGTTGTTTGGTTTGGGGGTTTTTTGTTTGGTTTTGTTTGTTTGTTTGTGGTTTTGTTTGTTTGTTTTCTTTTTGTTGTTGTTGTTTGGTTTGGGGGGGGGTTGGGTTTTTTTTGTGCCAATCAACATATGAACAAAATGAGATCAGGTATTGGCATTCTTATCTGTTCACATACCATGTTTGTTAAAATAGAAGTTTATTAGAACCCTTGTTCTTTTTCCCTCTCCTGACCTTGTTACAGGCTGTGATTATTATTGTGCAGCAGAATCTCTCATTCTTTCCTCCACTGAGGCTGAAATACTACAAGCCTTAATGCTGAAAATCTGTTGAGATGGAAATCTTAGGTAAAGCTTGAATAATTTATTTTATTGTTCTATGCGTCTTTGCCTGTTATGACTTGGTAAATAACTAATTAAGAAAACTGCACATCTAGTGAAGGACTTTTAAAACATGCTTGATGCCTTTGAGGTGATATTTCTTATAGAAAACAATTGTTCAGGAAATATACATTACACTTGAGCACAAAGACAAGGCAATAACATGAAAATCTCCTAAATTCTTTTCAAAGTTGTGAAGATATTGTATTAGGAAAACTCAACCAAAACTCAACCACACAACCACACTTACGGGGAGCTATTGGGATAATTGCAACTCCAGCATGAAGTTGCTGACTTCAAATTCAAGCCATATTCAAGGTCTGTTCGCTGGGAAAAAAATCCTCTGTGCTACTACTTGCCCGCATATGGTCACTGAAGAGATTTGGAATTTAGCTTTAGCTCCCCCACTGCCTGCCCTACCCCTATTTATTTACCAAACACAATTCCTTGGATATGATTTCACAACATAATTGTCTTCATTTATTTATGTTTATCTCTTTTGAAAGTGTCAAGAAAAATAAGCTTTTCTACTTTATAGAAGCATTAATTTATTTCTAGGTCATACCTTGTTTTCTTTGAAGGGTTTTATTTATTTATTTATTTAATAGAAATCCTTGTCCAATTCCTTTCTGTCCTCTTATTACAATTCAAGTTACTACTACATTTTTTCTCTCGTTTGAGTTGGAGGGTTTCCTTTAAAGATACACAGTTGGAAAACTTATCTCTAAGATAATATTTTCTTTTATCTGTGTGGCTAATCAGTTATATTAGTGTGTGATTGTAAAATCTGTAGGAGTAACAGTAAAGGATTCTCATAAATCTTGTTAAGTGGTCATGAGTAGTCAATTGTTTATCAATGGGCAGCTGGTGAAATGCTCAGTGATGACAAAAGTATTCATGCAGCAAGCAAGAAGTGCTTGCTCTGAAGTATTTCAAGATCAAGAATTTTTGATTCAAAAATCTGGAAAATAGAATGGTATAAAGCTATACAGTAGATGTGAAACATCGAGCAGTGCTATAAGAAATACAGTATAAGGAAGGTAATTTTCACACAAACCTACCTAGAATTAGTTTCAGACTTACAAAGCATCTTACCTCCAGCAGCTTTCTGTTGAATGACTATAACTACAGAAGCAGACAAGCCCTGAGAGCTGTTAGCTTTCTCTAAGTACTTTGGAATGGACATATTGGCTTGGCATATCCACAAAGATGCTGAACAGCAAATTAAGAAAAGGCATGTTATTGTCATGAGACTGTAAAACCTCAGTAGTTATGGCTTTGCAAATATGGTATATCTAGTTGAATGAAGTATGCCACATCTTTTTTTCTATCCTTTCCCCTTCTCGGGCTGGAGTCATCATTGAATTCCAGACCTACTGAATTTTACTGAAACACTAGGTTTACAGTGGGGAACTCTGGCCAAAAAAGCTCCAAGAAATTTTAGTAAACTTTAATTGTTCTCATTGATGATCAAAGACCAATTGACATTACTAATGTCATAACAAATGTGAATTGTTGCTATTGATCATTTGCTATCATAAGTAGTTAAACCTTACATTGGGTCATAAAACAAAAACACTTAAACTTGAGCAAGTATAAAATATCTGCAGAATAAGTCTTTGATCACCTGAGATGAACTGATTAGATGCACAAAAGATCTACTCCCTTTAAATTGCCCATTGTTTTCTGTTACACATTTGAAAAGGAATATGTGAAACGTGTCTGAAATGTGGATAATGGAATTGGAGAGACCGTCCCAGCAGTTCAAGCTTCTGGGACACTGTTGATGCTTCCAGGCCTGATTACTTGCTGTAAAGCATCTCCATTTTTCTATGGCAAGAGTCCATGCTGGAGAATCTTTCCCGTAAAGATAAATTGGCAGGCAGGAATCTGTTTACATTCTAAGACTCGTGTGTCTGTAGGCTATGTGTCTTGTTTGCAGTGAGATCATGTTTATCTACGTGATGGGCTCTCTTGAGTGGATGTGCTCTGTGGAGGTTTCCTTTCCCTAGCTTTAAGAAAACTGAAACATTGGAACACATTATGTGTAATTGCAAGAATAGTTAGTAAGCCAAACTTGGAAAGCCTTGGGGCACTTTGGTTTGTGGGTTAAATCAAGCATGAAGTCATGGGAGCAAGAATCATCTCTTCTCTCCCCATAGTTGGCAGCACAGGAAGGAATCATGCTGGTGCAGAAACTGGAAAAAGCAAATCAGCTGAGTTTCCCTAAGGTGCTGTTCTCATTATCAGCCAGTGAGTAGCTTGGCTAGAAATAATGCTGCTCATCTACTGTGTGTCCTGCTTCTAGCTATAATGAATCACAGTTTGCCAGGGTGATGCATGCACCTTGACTTTGGCAGTAATCCACTGTTATAGCTACCTATTCCCCTGTAAGACAACAGGAAGACGGAACATTCAAGTGAGGGAGGAGTCTGCATGAAGGCAGTTCCTTGCCATCCTGGCAAGTGCCTCTGATTTCACACAGCTCCAGGCACATGAGCTCTCACTGGAGACTAATGTTTGAAACAAGCTGGTGGTTGATTCAGGCAGTTGACTGGTATTCTCAGCTCTCAGTTTGTGGCAGTTCTCATTTCTGTGCCTCTTCCTCGCCTTTATTTCATCTTTTTTTTCTCTTTCCCTGTCTTTTTCCTTAGCTTTCACATGAAGTTAGCAGGTTTTTCAGCTTGCTCTGTTACCTGATAGCAATCTGACTGCTGACTATCCACCATTGCTTATGTATCTCAGCTACTCAGGGTAGAAATGGTGGAGAGGATTAGGTTATGAACCAGAACCAGCCTTTGTTGCC